TTATCCAATACACATCTATCTCTTAAGAGTGCAAATTCAAATGGTAACATAGAAATATATGTCGAGATTGGTGTCTATAATGCTGAAAGATAAACAGATTATGTTCTGATTATGCTAAAAAACTCTAGGGTAGTTTTGTATAAACCTTTAGGCCGTGCTCGTTTATAAAAAAATAGAAAAAAAACTGATTTTTTTACTGGTTTTGTGTGTTAACTAGAGTTTATTTGAAAAAGTTAGTATGATTAGTTGTTAGTGAGATTTTAAGTATGTACTAAAATAATGTTTAAAATAAAATGATTAAAATTTATTTGATGTAAAAGTAGGAGATAAATGATTGGAAATGATAGATTAGGTAGTTAAAGTTATGTGAGTGGATGAATAGTGAATTAAAGTTGATGTGATGTGTAAAAGAATAATTGAATAATATTATCTGAATATATTTATGATATCGAGGATAGTGGGGTTTGGTTAAAGTTGAGTTAGATTTTGAATCGAGAATCGAGATAAATTTTTTTCTAGTTTTTTTCTAGAAATTTGATAAACAAGCACGACCTTACTCGTTGTATATTGTTTGTGTTCTATGCACCGTTTAGTTAGTTTGTTTTCCTGAACAAGGCACGGTTCTTTCCTTGAACATTAGTTGCCATGTGAATGTGATACAATAACTATTTTCCTATTTCTTGTTACTTTTTTCACGTTCTTGTAATAATTATCCACTGTGGTTCGAATTATAGAAGCTTGCGGATAAGAACAAACATCTCAAAGGTCTGATAGATCAGCTTCGCGATCTCCTGGCTGATATATCCACATGGCAAAGTCCTTGTACAGTCTGAAGGCAAAATGGTGTTCTTCAAGCAAATCGAGATGAAAACTGAGGTATGGAACAAAGAATGGACCTTATTAGTATCACTTTCCAGTTTCCAAAAGAAAAAAAATACGGTAAAGTAGAAACTAGTATGTAAATCTATTGAAAAAGAAGTAACGGGTCATACACAAGCGATATATTTTGAAGAAAACTTAACTATAAGTATGACATTTGTCAGTTATTTTTACTCGAAAAAAACATTTGTCAGTAAGTATTTTTACTCGAAAAAAATGTGACGATTCAACTTGTCTAACTGTTAGGGTGCATTACATAAGAATTTGTATAGAAATTATCGGTATAATTTTATCTTTCGTGTTGTTGTAGGATTTCAAGAATTGATCGATTGATGGATGCTGAAACGATCAAGAATTGAACGATTGATGGAGAATGCAACTTCCAGTTGATTTTGATGCAGATTAGTGTTCCAACTATTTTTGTTGTGTGTTAGCACTGTTTTTTTTTTTTTTTT